TTTTATATTTTCATGGCTAGTCCCTCAACCCTGCTCATTCTGGTATTCCTTACCAGTTTGCTGCTTTGCTCCATTCCTTACTTCCCCAACAGTCCTGACTGAGCAGGTAGATGAAAACCCTTCACATCTTCAGAGACTGGAGAGCTACAGGAAGATCTTTGGAAAGAAGTCTCGGAGGAAGGAGTCTGAATTTCTTCTCTGTCTTGACTTGTCCCCCCACACCCAGTGAACCGAAAGTGATTCTCTTTTGGTTGGATTGTGGGAGGGCTGACCAGGCAAAGCTGGCAACACTGGTTGAAACTGACAGCAGGACCAATGTGTTGAAATTAAGATCTCTTCAATTTAAAGATTCAGTGATTCTAAAGAATAGACCCCGGTACCATATAATAAATTTGTAATTATCTATTACTGTACAGTTTTATTGTTGCCAGCGTTGCTGACAAGCATATAAATAGAAGAGCAATCAATAAAAGTAAAGAAGGCTATAATCCCAGACAATGTGTGCTTCTGCTTCCAAAAGCCTGGCTGCTGTGATATAACCTTAACAAGAAAATTGTCTAAAACAATTCAATCTGGAATTCCCAATATGGCTCCTTGGGACCCAAGGAATCTAGAAAGCATTCCCCTTGGGACTCACCAAGATCCTGGCCTGAATGGACTTTTTTACATTTTTAAAACCCAATTTTAATTTTTTAATTTATTGAAACAATTCATATGGCTGCCCATCTAGCTGCAGCAACTCTGGATGGCTAACAGTAATAATAAACAACAACAGTCCAGTTAAAAACAGTTGCAATGACAAGCAATTCTCAGTGTATTAGAGCAGTGTTCCTCAACCTTGGGAACTTGAAGATGCGAGGACTTCAACTCCCAGAATTCCCCAGCCCCTTGGTGGCTGGGACATTCTGGGAGTTGAAGTCCATGCATCTTCAAATTCCCGAGGTTGAGGAACACTGCTCTAGAGGTCCAAAAAAATCCTCTTTGATCTTACAGACAAACAGGGCTCACCTAACCACCCAGCCCAAGTGTTTGGGGAAAGGGTATACAAAGTGCCAGCCTCCAGCATTCTATTTATTTCCAGAAAAGCACTGAGGCCTTGCAAAAGTTCTCTAAAAATTTACATCATGGGCTACGGAATCCCAATCTTGGGTTTGAATATGTGTTTACCACCCCATGAAAAAAGGATCAAGGGAAGCAGGGATAGTTACTGAAGTATCCCATGAGAGGGGCACTAGAAATGTTTTATAATCAAGAAAACCACTTATGGTGGGCATGTTATGAATGGGGCAGGCTGACCCAGCAGCCAGTGTCGGAGCACCCACAACATTGAGAAATGCAGTTTTTTCTCCCTTCTGGTTTTCCTTAGGTTTCACCCAGCCATGCTGACACTTTCCCTCACTTTGTAGCTATACAAATAAACACCCAAGTTTCCTATTCATATCCATATGCTGTACTATACACACATACATACCACAGACATCATCATAGACCAATGACCACCGATAAAATCTTTAGTTTCCATTCATTCTTGAAAAAAAAGAGATAGAATCTTGTGTTTATTGTCACAGAGATCTGCTGTTGGAAAATCAGGGAATTATTATGAGTCAGTGGTGTAATAGGTATTAACATTAATTAGAAGGAACATCTATCTATGATAACAGCAAGGGTTTGTCAAGCAATTCAGCCCTGCAACTGTGTTAGGAAGACAGATTCTCCCACTTTTTTATAGAGTATTAATTTCAGCCTCACTTAGATTTGTGGCAGGCCTATTTTTTAAAAAAAGAAAACTGGAAGTATGTTAAGCATTTTATCTGTGTAACATTACATCTATCATGCCCCCCCGTTCCCCCCCCCCCCGCAGTTGGCAAGTTTTCATAATTCTCAATGGTTTTGAGTGTCCTCTTCTGACTGAGCAGGGTATGACTCGGGCAGGCAGATGAAGAGTAGTGAAAGGATCTGTCTCCTTCCCACCAACTTTGACTCCCTAGTTATTTGCAGCACTTTATGGAAAGTGGAAGGTGTGCCAGAAGGAATTCATTTTCCCCCTTGGAATGCTGCAGTTGTCCCTTGGTGTAAGGAGATCCCCCAGGGCCTAAGCCAAGAAAGTGCTGACAAAAGTGAAACTCAAAAGGGCAGAGAGCAGGAATAAGCTGGTTGGCTTAAGAAAAGCTCCAATCAAGTGCACCCCCCTAAACGAAGCTATTCTTTATAAAGGCAGACACACTGGCAATGGCGCTATCTTCTGCAGAGCTTTCGAACGCCAGCCCTATGATACTTAAAAATTATGATCGCAAGAAGTGCGACTCCCCCATTTTCAAACGCTCTGCAAACAGCCTCAAAATTTCCAGAGCATGCTTTTGAAAGAAGAATCTGTTTTCCTCAGAATGCTTGGCCAAGGCTCTAAGTTCCGTATTTAGTTGGTAAGTTGAAGCAAGTTGAAAGGATCTCATATTCCATTTGCTCCACGTCTGCTATTTAAGAAAGCATGCTTTCAAAACACAACTTGTAATCCATGTTCTGAGGATACGTATTCCCGCATATACCAATTGTCCAATTGTTTCTTCTATCCTTCTTTTCACTCAATAAGCTGCTATGCCTTTATCTACCAAACATTCAGATATTTCTGATGCAGTAATTTCCTCTTCATTTTCCTCAATATATCGCTCCATGCATCTCAGTTCCTTTGTTTTCCTTGGGTTGTATCCTTTAGGACTTGAAACTATTATTAAGAGGCCCTATAATTTTTTCTGTGGCATTTAGATGTGGGTATTACACTTTCTCTTGCAATGTATCAGTTGGTTTTTTGGCTAGGGTAAAATAACTTTTTTAAAAAGGCTGTAGTTTGAATGCTTCAGTTACCACATTATTTAATATAGACTGTATTTCTTCTTAAATTGGCAGTATCAGTGTTTGGTATCTTCATATAAAGAAAGCCTGTACTTTATTTCAACATTGGCTAAGGTATATGTGTGTGTGTGTGTGTGTGTGTGTGTGTGTGTGTGTGTGTGTATTTGGGAAACTCAGGCGGTATTATTCAGCTGCTTCAATTCCTCATCCAAATTATCTCCCAGTTTAATTATTGTATATGAATAATAATAATAATAATAATAATAATAATAATAGAACTTCAAAGTGCCCTGGAACTTGTGGAAGACACAGCATAGCCAAAACTGGAATATGTTGTAGAGAGTAAGGAAGATGACCCTGATGGAGATAGGTAGGAACCATTACCTAGGCAAAAGGGGCTGAAGCATTTTTAAAAGTCCAGAACAAGGAATTAACGTTTGGAAGCACCTCAAGCAGATGCCTCCCTAATTCACTTAAGTATAAGCAGGAAGAGGAGGAGGTCCAGCACAATCAGATTTGCAAGGTTCTGTTATTATAGCAGTCTCCATAAAAGTAATCTTAGCGTACCTGTGGAGTTTCCTAGCCTGCCTACACTGTGGGGATGACATAAATACATCATATTGTTACATCAAATCCCTGGTGAAAATATAAATACAACCAAATTCCAATTAATGTTGCTTCTGACTACTGGAGCCTAATATATCAGGATAAAAAATGTAAAATGTTTTGTACACATGTACACATTTTAGAAACAATAAGGATAAATTATATAAGGTCAGTGGTTCAGACTGCTGAAATCTTAATTTATAATACAACTCACATTTAACTATGATTTGGGGCACTCTGTTGCAGCTTCTTCCTCACCTGCTCAAAAAAAATTTGCATCATGCAGTTCTTGCTTTGAACAAATTTTGCAAAGCAGTTTGGGCCTTAACTATCCAAGGGTGAACTCATTTACTGAGATCCAACCTGATTCCATTATTCGCCTTCTAGCAACAAGTAACCCAGAGATTTTTAGAACTTTCTGGAGGCTGTTAGATGGCTATTTGAACTGCAATGTTGTGGCATTATTATATATATATATTCATAAACAGTTTTATTTTCTTAATATATTAACTGGCTGTATTTGGGAGATGTAGACAAAAAATCCAGAAAATTTGCAGTTTTTTAATTACTTGGTGTCAAGCAGGAAGAACTTGAAAATATAATCTAAAACTGTAGCCCCAAATATGATAAAAATATAGCAAACTGAAAATTCATAGGAAATCTCATGGTTTTTGAAAATTTGGTATTTTGGACCAAGGTATAACAATTAACTAAAAGATATTTACATTATTGCTGGTGAAGGATGATAAAGCATATTTAAACTGTATCGCTGGGAGTTGGGTGACATATACATATAATAATAATAATAATAATAATAATAATACCACCACCACCACCACCACCACCACCTAGGGTTTTCCCACAGGTGCAGAGTCTGCTTTTTGGACCAATTATTATAATAATTGATAATAACAAGATTATTATCTGGAATGTGTGCACAAACATATTTTCAAGAAAATTAAAGGAAGGAATTTAAAATAATGTTCTGTTTGAATTCTGGATATCTGATTTTTTGGTAATTCTCTTGGTCCTTCACACTCCCACATTCACAGAGAGTAGAGAGAAGAGCCATCTATGCATGGAACAATTCTTAACAGCTGGGAATGAAGTTTAAATTCTACCAAAGTCCCAAAAGCACTTGGTGCAAACTGACCCAAGGAAATTCTTGATGGACACTTTGATTAAAGGAGACTTTGTCATGTTTTCCCCATCTGGCATCACAGAAGATATTTCAGTTCCAGGAGAATCTTCTTACATGAAAATGCCTACGTCTGAAGAAAAATCTAGCAGGGTACTTTCCCAAGGAACAACTTTTCAGATACAAGCTCCTCAAAACAGAGAAATCAATGAACATTTTAATACTCGGTCTAAATGAGAAGGAGGTATAGGACAGAGACAACTATTTTACCTAGGCAAATACAGATAAATATTTCCCTGCTATTTACTGATAAGGAAAATGATATATCGCATCTAATTTAATTAGGTACAGGCTCTGTTTTGAACATACTCTCCTTATGAACTTACAGATTTCAAGATGAGAACGCAGGTTTTAAGTTTCTTTCACTTTATTTCATCATCTGTGCCCCACATTTGATTTATCTGATCAATTATCCCACTTCATAAAAAGAGTTAAGGTTCCCGTCCTACCATGTTGCTCAGTAGCAGCCATATAGTAAACTGTACCAATTATTTCAAAAACAAAAAGCGACGCTCGATATTTGTCTGGAAATGTTGGTTGAGAAAGGACCTGAAACCACGCTTCCGAGGAGTCACTCGTAAAACTTGAGAGCAGGCAAATCCCAGTGGTTAACTTCAGTGCTGTTCAGTTCAGCAGGGGTCTCTTCAACAAGAACGCACGCTTCTAATGACGAGAGCAATTGTGGCTTACGTTCGGCACGGATGGCGTTCTCTTGGGGAAATCTGCACGAACAAGCCATTGTACGGCTGAGGCATATCCAGAGAAAAGTATCTAGACAAAATACCACCCATGAAAGACATCCAGCTTCTCTTTGGAATTGAGTCTTAGTCTGTAGTATAGGTTTAGTAAATTCAGCTGCACAAAGAAGATGCCACAGCAGACTACCTGCACAGTAGTTCCTCCAATTAATGTTACAAGCTGCATTTCCCCCCTATATAAGAAAGGGGGGAAAAACCCTCTACACAATTGCTTTTTTGAGCTGCTGTGCTTGATGAAAGGCAGGCTTCCCTGGAACCAAGCTTTCCCCATCAGTTAAGAGTAAAGTAGGGACCCATGATTGCAGGTAGTCCTCGACTTATGACCATTCATTTAACAACTGTTCACCATTATGCATTTTAGATGTATAGTAGCAGGCGTGCTTGCCTGACAGTCAGAAACCTTAGTCCCTTATTCCTTCTTGTATTGTTTCATGTGCTTTAGGATGGAAGAAGCAATTTCAATGTTATTCTTGTTTTGGCCAAAATAATCAACAAATTTCCCATCAGGCCCAACAAGGTACATTATGATAGTGTGATCCACCTGCAAGAAAAGAAACACAAAAGAGATGGAGGTAAGGTGGAAATTCTGAGAATGGGCAATTCTGCTGAGCACTAAATTATCTCTGTGACTGAACTACTCTCCACCTCTAGACTTCTACATAGAGGAAGGCTTTCATAGGTAGCCAAGAAACACATCAAAAGAAGATATTTCTTCAGCAGCAAATGTAAGAATACATTTAAAAAAATGCCCCACACATCTGATGATAAAACACCAAAACAGCCAAGCCCTATATAAAAAAGGGGGAAAAAAACCTCTACAGAATTGCTTTTTTGAGCTGCTGTGCTTGATGAAAGGCAGGCTTCCCTGGAACCAAGCTTTCCCCATCAGTTAAAAGTAAAGTAGGGACCCTTGAGTGCAGGTAGTCCTCGACTTATGACCATTTGTTTAACAACTGTTCAAAATTATGATGATGCTGAAAAAAGTGACTTATGACTGGTCCTTGCACTTATGACCATAGCAGAGTCCCTGCAGTCACATGATCAAAATCCAGGTAATGGCAACCGGCATGTATTTTCAACAGTTGCAGCGTCCCAGGGTCACGTGATCACCATTTGCGACCTTCCCAGGGGGCGTCCAACAAGCAAAGTCCATGGGGGAAGCCAGATTCACTTAATGACCATGGTGAGTTGCTAATGACCGCAGCAAAAAAGGTCGTAAAATTGGGCGCAACTCACTTAACGACCGCATCGCTTAGCGATGGAAGTTCTGGTCCCAATTGTGGTTGTAAGTCAAAGGCTACCTGTATGAGAAAAACCAGTTCAACATCTTTTGTAAGGCACAAGAACAGTACTGAATTTCTTGGGGTGGGGCGAACAGCAGCAGCAAGAAGCAACTTCAGATACTGTTTTTAAACAATATTAATTAAAAATACCACTTTTTCATGACTAGACTGCTAATTTGGGAGGAACCGAAGCCAGTACTACAACCAACAACTGTCACCTTGGGGCATCTATACTTTAAAGTACATGTAGGGACATTTACACTAATAAAAGCTCCTATTTGAAACAACAAAGACTGAAATCATTTATATTTCGAATTTAGATACCGCCCATCTCACAAAAAGTGACTCTTTTGTATGGAAATTATGCCATATAGTGCTTGCCCTTTGTGGCCAATGTCGTTTAGTATCTGGCACCCTCTGCTGGCTATCCTCTGGTACTGCTGCTTGCCCATCTGGATCTTTCCTTGGGAGAAGGCAGCCCCTATTTGACCTTGTCCAAGCTCAAAAGCTCAGCACCGCTGGGCCTGCGGAGCAGTTGGAGGGGAAGCCACCAGGGAACTTCAGGGTTACGTCAGACTGGAAAGTTGAAACAACCCCAAAGGTGGCACCACCTCTGTACTACTGCCAAGAAAGCTGCATCAATGTGTCACCAAAGTTACTTGCAGTTGAGCCAGACTCTAAAAAGACTTCACTTTTTAAAACAATTATCCTCCTCTAGAGCACATTAGAAAACATGTTCAAAAAATGAATGCCAAGAAAATGCAAAGGCTTGTCCAGACAGTTACCAGGAGTCAAGACTCACCTGAAGGCACGCACACACACACAATCCTGCAAGCCTCAACTGAATTTTTCCAATCTCAACATGGCCTTATTAAAACTAATATGAATACTGAAACCACTCTCAGTATCAGAGTATAATGTTTTCAGTTCTACTGCTGACAAGCTCTTTTTCAGTTCGGCTTTTCTTGTTCATGCTTAAAATAAGAATGTCCCAACAACTGTTCCTCTACACAAACAAAAGAGGATCGCAAAACTGCAGCCTCCCATCAGTCAGAAAAGTCAAACGACCAAACGCGATCTTCTCACAAAGGAAAGCCTCTTGTTTGGAAGAAATTGCAGAGTCAGCTCCCACGTCCTCTATGAGAAGTGCCTTTTATCTTTCTAACATAGGCCAAACATTCTCACAATGCTTTCGAATTTATATACTTCTAGGACTGTCCTACTCTCTGATCATTCACATTTTGTTGATTCAATGACCCTCTTTCATAAAACCTCTCCCAGCTTTATCAATCGGTGGGAAAACTCGAGATATACCATACAGAAAGCGTACTCACGATGTAATCGTTATCCTCATCTCTGGGACCTGGGCTGTAATAGACGCGATAGGCTCGAGCCACTTGATCAACCTGTTCTTTCGTACCAGTCAATCCGATCAACTTTGGTGAAAACTCTGGAAACAAAAATAAAGCCAACAAGATCCGATGCATTAAAAATGAGAGCCCAATTTATCAAAAGTGAACTTGGTCAGAATTGTAAGTTAAAATGGAGTCAGTAGAGTTTCCAATAAAAAGAAAGGCCAAGATTACCTTTAACATATTTGGCAATGGCCTCTTCATTGTCCCTCTCTGGATCAATGGTGATGAAGAGTGGAGTGACATTAGGCAAAGATGCGATTCCATCTGTCATCACAAAAGATGATACTTAATCTTCAAGTAATCAGTCTCAAGACAGTTTACGTTCAAGCCTGCAGATCTCCTAGATTAAGCCTGGAGATAACCTTGAAAACAAACCTATACCCCTTACCCATCTTTGTGTTCAAGCTTGTATATAGCCCAGCTTCCCCAGGGTGGATGGACCTAAGCTTTCCATGTTTCCTGGTACATTTTGGGCAGGTTTTAAGGGATAAAATGAATGCCTGAAACCGTGCAGTTCTCGGACTAAAAAAAGGCTTGGCCACCCTTGCTCTAGTTACTTTTCCAGCAATTTTTCCAAGATGTTGGATTACATTCCTATTATATTTGACTACTAACCAAGACAGATGTCACCTTCATCTGCCATTTGAAATATGGCAGTTAGATATGAAAATATCTCCTCCCTGTTGGCACCAACAAAGTGAACTCCCCCTGGACCTTCTTTGAGAACCTCAGCTATCTGTCCATGCTGGTACAGTACTATCAATGCTTAAAAACATATTGTCTTTCTACCAGCTTTTAATTCGCTTTAACATTTCCCCACCCATTGCTAAAGAACCCAGTCCTAATCATAAAATCAAGCTGGGATTATCACTCTTTAACCAAAACCTAACCTCATACTAGTTTTAGAATTGACTTGAAGGAAGCTTAACTCTAACCTTAACCTTACACTAACCCCACAATACCTTTTTCCCTCACTGTTCCTCAGCAGTCAGTATTAACCTCAGGCTATCACTGTGCAAAAAATTAACTCAGGTTCTAAGTCTCACCCTTCTTTTTAGTATAGATTTCAAGAAAAGTTAATCATAATGCTAATCTCTCATAACTTCCATTGACCTCACTCACTCTTAAACCATACTATGAATTTGAGACTACCAGTATCCATTTATATTCACCCTAAATATAATCTTTTTAGCATGAATTTGGAGATTTGAGTGCCAGTATTGTGTAGTGGTTAAGGCATCAGCCTAGAAACCAGGAGGCCATGAGTTCTAGTTCCACCTAGGCACAAAGCCAGTTGGGTGACCCTGGGCCAGTCTCTCTCTCATTTTCAGCCCTAGGAAGGAGGCAACAACAAACCACTTCTGAAAAACCTTGCCAAGAAAACTGCAGGGACTTGTCCAGGCAGTCTCCAAGAACTGGACATGATTGAACGGATTAAAAAAAAAAAAAAAAAGAGGTTTAACCCTAAACTCACCCTAATGCAGATAAAAATACTTTCGATACACACTGCCCTAGCGTTATTACCCATTATGTGAATTTAAGGTTGATTTTCAAGATTAACTTCAACAAGCTTAACTCTAACACTAACCTTAGTAACATCAAGTTAAAATTACCACTATTCAGAAAAATTCACCTTGATTCTAACCCTCATCTTTGTTTTAGCATAGGTTTCATGTAAGTTTAACCTAATCCCTATACACACTCTATCGGCCATAAAAATATTTTCCCCGCACACTACCCCGACAATCAATCATTTCCTCAATGTTGGCACCACCACTATTCATAGATATTTACCCTGAATCTAACTGTAATAGTAATTTAAGTAGAATGAGATTTAGAAATAGGGCTAATTTTTATTGATAGAGACACTCTAACATTGCATTACAGGTAAGAGTGGGGCAAATGTTAAGGAAAATATATTTCTGGGACACAGGGTGAGGTTAGGGTTAGGACTAAGCTTCCTTTAGTCTGTGCTACAAGCTATCATTAGACTTAGATTCATGGTGAAATTTGAGGCAGTAGTCTTGAACCAACATTGAGCTCAACTTGAGTGCTATGGAAGGGTGGGTGGAAAATAGTTTTACGGATGATAAGCTGAATTTAGGTTAGGGTTTAGCTTCCTTAAATTTTATGCTTGAAATTAAGACAAAGATAAAAATCTGTATGAAAACAGTAATTTTTATGCATAGCACTATTCTTAATTACATATTACAGTGTGAAATGTGTGTGAATCCTGGGGAACCTGGAAGACAACTTATTTTCATTTATCATATGATCATATGATGAGGGTAGGGTTAGGGTTAAGTTTGCTTGGAGTCTTTCTAAAACAAAGCTGATTCCAGGGAATCTTTATCATAGCATTAATCTTAAATTCATAGTATGGATAAGAGCAAGTGCTGAGAGAAAACAGAAAGTGAGAGAAAATATTCTTGTAAGCAGCAGAATGGGTTTAGAATTAATAACAGAATCTAGGATTAATACAGAAAAACAAGGGTCACATTAATATTCAGGGAAAAAAAATTAGGGACAGTTATAGTCTTAGGTTTATACTGACACTAGGATTAAACATTATGGTAATGTGAAGAAAAAATATATGTATGGGCAACTGTCAGCCTCAGTAGATGGACCAGACCAGGAAATCAACTCCACAGGGAGGCTAAAACTATTTTCATCAAGATTGGCTATTATAACAGAATTTTATAAATCTGATCGTGTTGTACTTCCTCCTTCTTCTTATAGTTCAGTGAATTAGGGAGGGGTCTGTCTGAGCTGCTTCAGAATATTATTGGGTTGTTCTGGACTTAAAAAACCTCCCACCCTTTTTGCCTTGGCAACAGCTGCTGTATATGCCCATCAAGGACCTCTTCCTTACTCTCTACAGCAATAGAGCAAGGCTAGGGTTAGGCTTAACTTTTCTTGAAGTTTGTGCTGAATACAGAGTGATTTTTTAAGGACAGTGGTTGCCTTAAGATTATATTGCAGTCAGAATCCAATGGTGGGCAACATGCAGAAAAACGGGTATATCGGTGATAGGATTAGATTAGGATTACAGTTAAGATTCCTTGACATTTGTTATAAAAAGTAGGGTGAAGGATAGATTCAGAGTTAATTTGTATGCATAGTGGTTATCCTAAATTCATACTGTCATCAGAAATCAGTGTTGTGGGAAAATGTAGGGGAATATACACAGACACACATGGATATGTGCAACAGGGATACTTAGGGTTAGCATTAGCTTTAATCTTAAACTCACTTTATCAGCCATAAAAATAGTTTCTCTTACCAGTCCAAGGAAGTGTAAGACTAATCCCAAATTCAACCTATCACCAGTAAAAATATTCTCCCTGTATGTTTACTAAAATAAATTTACTAGAAATTTACTAGAATAAATCCTAACCTCAATATCAACTTAAATCTACCACTATCCATAAAAATGGGACAACAGAACAAGGTTCAGTTTAGGCTTATGCTTTCCTGAAGTTCATGCTAAAAGCCAGCATTACAGTTAGATGCTTCTACTAAAAACTAGGGTAGGGCTAAGATTGAGGGTTCATTTCTACAACAGTGACGGCCTTAACTTAAATTGAGGACAGGATTAATTGTTGGGGCATGGGAAATATTTTTTAGGGCTGATCAGCTGAGGATAGGGTTACACGTCCCAGAAGTCTCAACTAAAATCTTGGATGAGGGATAGAATGAGGATGAATTTTTATAGATATCGGTAGTCTCAAAACCATTATACTCTTTGGATTGAATGCTGGCCAACTGGTTAGATAATAAAATCTGAAGTTAGAGTTAAGCTTTCCTGAAGTGTACAATAAAAGGAAGGATACAAGGTAAAATATGGGCGAATTTTTATGGATACTGGTAGACTTAAATTTTAATTGCAGTTAGGATCACGTTTTGTGGCAAAATGTATGGAAAATGTTTCATGAGTGATAAGGTGAGGTTAACACTGAAGTTCCTGGAACTCTAATCTAAAAATTTAAGATGAGGATGAATTTTTATAGACTGTATTAGTCTTGGTTTGATACTAAAGTTAGGGTCGAAGGCTGGGGCAATGGTTATGGAAAATATTTTTAATGAATGTTTGTGCCATGTTAACATTAAGTTTAATCTTCTTTGAAATCAATCCTAAAAATGAAGGTGAGGATTAAAATCAGGGTGAATTTTTATCGTCAGTTATAATCTATGATTTATGTTACTGCTGGGATCATCTCCTGGTATAAAGGATAATGTCAATATTACCATGAAGTTAGTGTAAGTACAGTATTAGGATTCCTTGACATCTATGCTAAACTCAGTATGATGGTATGAGTTCTTAATGTTAGTTCTAGTATGTTATTTATCAGGTTTATCATCAAACTGGGAATTACTAATGTGTTACTCTTAATGGGAAATCTTCATAGGATAAATCTTACTATCACGTTAGGACTAATTTGTTTAAATTCCAAATGGTCTATAGTAAAAATAAGGGTGGTTATTATGTTGAGCTTATATACATTGTAGTAGTCTTAGACTGATGATAGGGTTGAGTGGTGAAGCAAAGTTTTGGCTAAATTCTTTTTGGCATTAGGATGAGGTTAGGGTTAAAGCAAAACTTCCTTGAATTCTATTAAAAATAGCAAGAGAATTAGAATCAGGGAGAAATTTTAGGATGATAGTCTTAGGATCATATTCAGTTAGATTAAATGATTGAACATGAGTTAGGGAAAGTATTTTTATTTATTTCATTTATAGGCTGCCTGACTCCTAAATGACTGAGAGGCTTATGGGCTATAGGGTGAAGTTAGGGTTAGGGTTAAGTGTCTTTGAAATCTACATGGAAAACTAGTGTGATGGTTAGAATGTGAGTGAATTTTTATGGTTCGTGATAGTTTTAGGTTTTTCTTTTGTTTAGTACTGAGCTTTTGGCAATTATTAGGGTTAAGCTTCTATAAAATCTAAGCAAAAACTAGCATAAGGGTCAGGATGTAGCTCAAATGTTTAGTGACCAAGGTTGGAAAAAGATGCTCAAGTGTCAATTTAATTCAATCCATCTAAGAAGGCGCTCTTGTAAGATGGACAAGTGAAACAGTACACCACTGAGATCCTTTTTAATAGTAAATGTCTTCGTTTTCTTGCTGTTTCTTATGCAGATGTTTCCCTCTCTGAACATGGGCACCAAGCCTTCACTCTTCTATGCTATACATTTCCCTTTTATTCATGTTTGTTGAATATAACCAAGTTTTAAATGGATGTAAAACCTTTCTACACAGATTCTTTTCTTTTACCTCCCTCCCATCTCCCACTCTCCATAAGCTCTCTGATGAGAGGCACTGGTTTATAACAGGCCCAAATCATAAGGTAATCCTGAGTCACAATCATTCTCTCACTCAAGAGAAGAACAGCAGGACTGTCCCACATGGAGAGTCATTCCAGTCGCTCTGGAGTTGGGCAGTGCCGACATCAAGCCAAATCAATAAATTCAGGTTTCAGCAGGATTTACTTACCAACTTCATCCACTGCTAGCATCATTTTCTCCAGCTCTTCTGGGCAAATGTCAGGGCAATGTGTAAAACCAAAATAGATTAAAACCCACTGGCCCAGATAATCATGATCTGATTTGGGTTGTCCGTGGTGATCAACAAGTGAGAAAGGGCCTCCTAACAAAGGCTTTCCAATGGATCGGGTACTCTCTTTCTCCAGTGCTGAAATTGGATCACAAAATCAGATTATCTGCCTGGAGCTTTGATGGAAGAAAATCTTGAGAAGATTCCAACAGAAATTCCTACATATACATTCGTAATTCTTTGCTTTTTCTTTTCCTATGTGTGGGACAGTTTAAGATGTGTCTGTCCTTAGAACTTGTTTTGGGGGTTTGGTTTTTGTTTTTGCTTTATCTGAAGAATACTATCTATCCTGGGGGTGAAAATACAGAGTTACAATGGCAAAGGCCAAACATAATAGCAAGAAATAGTGTTATATCACAGTGAAACATCCACAATTTGGGAAAAGCTAACATGGAAGCTTTCAGAGTCTTTCAAAATCGGTGCATAAAATGATTTAAAGATCACTTGTATCCTCTCTTGTTGCATTTACACTCAGGGGTTTAATTAAGATAGGTCCTGATTGCACTTCAATAAATGCTAGTATATTTACTGTTTCAGCTGCTTGAATGATTTTCAAAACAACCATTTACAGCATCCCAATTTTATGCTGTAGAAGAGATTTTACTGATAGCAAGACTTGGAAGACGGAGAACTTTAATAATATTGATCTACACATGCACAAATCAATTGAAGACAAGGACAATAAGCAGAAGTTAAGTGAAAACCATCACACATTTGGGCATATCTCATGGTGGGAAGAAACAATAATCAAAAACGTATAATTATTTGTACTACTGCTTAAATGTGTTTGGACTACAACTCCCAGAATTCCTAGCCATGCCCAGCACATCTGAAAACCAGTTTAGAAACGATCAAACTACACAACAGCCACTATTAGCCACATGTGGAAATCTTTACACAATACAACGTCATCACATCTCCACAAGGTGGTAATAAAACAGCAACAGAATGAGTGCAAAGGATGCCAACCTGCTTCTTTCTCTTTCTTCACGTATTTCATTACTCCTAGCAACCCTCCTCCAATCACAGCCGAGACTGCTAAACTCTTCCAAGTTACTGGCTACTGGGAAAGAAGGGAAAACGAAAGGGTTATGCAAATAAATGCTTTCGGGCCAGCCCAAGCCCCCTTTTCACACGATCGCTAATCGTAAGTCTTCTCGTCGTCCCGCCTTACTTTTCCACGCGCTTTTAATTGTCTCCCCTGCTCCCGGCTGAACCGGTTTATTCAAAGATTTTCAGCCGGTATGGGGACCACCGAAGGCAAGATCGGGAAAGGAGGTGGAGGTGGAGGGGCCCCTTTAAGGAAATTAAAGAGTAACATCCCACGGACGGGACTCCGCACCTTTGAGCAAGTTCAGCAGGAGAGAGGATTTGGCCAAGCGTCTCTTTTCAGCTCCGCAGAAAGACAGACCCGCGATCCCGACCGAAGCGCCCTCTTTTGCCAAGAAGGCTGCGCGCAAAGGTGGCCAAGCGAAGGCCTCCACCCAGCGATCCAGTGCTTGCGGCGGGCGGCGGGTGCGCCCCCACGCCCCCCCCCCCCCCCCCTCCCCC